GTCTAGCCCTGCTCGCCAGAAAGACCCCCCCCTTCACTACAACCCATGTCTAAGCAAAAGCTTGTCGAGGAGCAAGGGGAAGAAGGGAGAGTTAGGATGCTACAGAACTATTCTGTAGGGTACCGGCGGTGTCACAGAACTCACACAACTATTCTGTAGGGTACCGGGGGTGTCACAGAACTCACAGAACTATATTGTATTGTGCGAAGGTGCCACAGAACCTCACAGAACTATTCTGTATTGTACGAGGGTGCTACAGAACCCACAGAACTATTCTGTAGGGTAATTACAGAGGGTAATTACCCCCGGTACACGTCTGTGAGTCCCCTACAGAACACTCCCGTGAAAAAATGTGAACCATAGCTCATACCGAAGAGGGATTCATGCTCATCATGACTCAGTGACCCGCCGAAATCAGACGCGTCTAGCATTTCTCGTGTTTCGCAGTCTGAATACGTACAGAGGCAATTGTTGGCTTTCGATGATGGTGTTGAACATTCACTACTTGCAGTACGTCTTGCCATTTGCTTCCAATAACACCTTGGTCCCTCATCGGCCGCAGACAACGTGAGCAAAATCAAGCGGGTGTGTAGATACACTTGTCCCCGTGTTTGCTCATTGTTGCCCTTGTTGAAATTGACAGCAATTTGTACAAGATGCGGCAGGTAGGAACACGGCTGTGACTACGATGAGCGCTGTGAGATGTTTTTCCGCAAATTACGAACGACCGTGGCTCGTACGACTTGCGTTTCGTGAGTGAACCAATGCACGACCGATGTTCGTAGGCACTGTTCAGAGTATTCGCTTTCATCGCTTACCCATACAATCCGGAGCGGACTCTTGATAGGGTTGTTGTTGTTGTTGTCTTCACATTAAAAACCATCCCGGTCTCTCTATCCAGTACCTCCTTCTGTCTAGGGTGCAATGCACGAATCGTCTTACTCCTTTCTCGATACATCCCTCTAGGCGAATTTCTGCACACCATATGCTCGAGCTTCAAATTGATCTTGTCTTGAACACTTGAAACCGTGGCTAGGGAATGACACAGCTGTAGTGAAAGTTTGCCGACGCTGGCAACACAGGTGCACTTCATGTGAACCTTTGGCATCGTCAAACGTCTCCCGGTAATAGAAGTTCCTCCGCTGTCAAGAAACACTCGCTACTGGTGCAGAGGGAATATACACTCTGGTAGAACGCTTTGCCAGAAATGTTGGTTCCTCGCAAAAACACCTCGGGGGCTGGCCATTCTGCGTGACGAGCCATGTCTTCTTCCGCTTTCGACGTGAACAATATACAGAGAGCACGTGCCCACGCTTGATTGCTGGGAAGACCCAACAATGCAAGGTGTATGACGTTCATTCATAAATTCGTTTCGAAAACTTGACTTTCGTTCCGGTCTCCACTCAGTTCATTCTTCTATCCGCCCAGGTCTTATTCTTTCCTTGGACACAAGCCAACGACCTCGTGAAGGGGAGCACTTAGCACCTTCCTAGAATCAAAAGATAGAACAGAATAAAATTGGAATAGAATGGTTGATTTTGGAGGACCTCGGCCTCGCCAAACGGGTCGCCCACACAAGTGCCATTTTGGTTTGGCTAACGTGTACAGCTGAGAGAACCATAAACGTACGTGCATTGCTGAAACAACGCCATGTGCAAGCTCCTCCTGCGCCCAACAAAGCGGTACTACAGAAACCAACCAAGCATCAGGCTACCCCCTGTCTACATCAAAATGCGAGAAGTGACAAATAGCTTGTGATGGCTACCCAACCAACCCCCGCAGGTCGCCGATGAAAGTCTACGCTGCGACGGGGCACACAACATACATCAGGGACACAAATCATACTCGCCGTCTATCGGTGACAACACATAAAAACATGCGTGACGCGAAAGTGCGACAAGTACTGTAGACGAACACCCGAATGTACATCAACAACCACTAAATACACCTTCAATGGGGTCGGATACACCAGCTTTATGATCTTCGATATCCACACACGTGGGCCCTCGACGGATGTGCTGTGGGCCGACATGGCTATTGAGACGCGATCGGTCAAGGGTTGGACTAGTCGAAAAACACGCCAAACACACACAGGCAGCATGTTCTACCTAGCTTGGCAAACTCGAACACGAAAAGTTCGACGGCAACCAGCACGTCATGTCACGCCACAGCACATCCATCGAGCGCTCCTTTCACCGATGACAGTGAGAAGGTTACACACGCGCTCCGCTCAGAAACCCATTTACATACGACCATTAGTCTGGACCTAGGCGTACCAGTACGATGAATGCATTGATTGGCACAATCATGAAAACAGCGTTATGTGTGTCCGGTTCACTTCCAACGTACGACAGACCAAAAGAAACAAGTCTGTCAGTTCCAGTGTACGACAGGCTTAACCGCCGAATCAAATTCCTTTGACGCCCTCTCGACAGTTCCTTTACCTTCCGTTCTCCACCCATCCAGGCACCCTGGATCTAGATTTCCGGGCTTCAGTTATTCTGGCAGGTATGGCAAAAGAAGAAGCACCACCACCCGTTGGCCATCTATTCGGAGGGTGCTGCTGATTATTCTGTGGCCAAGCTCTCATTAGCTCTCCGCCGACATCGAACCCCACGTCACGCCCATCGTACATCATCACAGGCCTCCCAGTTGGGCCAGCCGAGTACGAGGGAGGGGGAGGCCCGGCGTCTCCACTCACGTAAGTCGAGGGTCGTTCACTCGCACCGTGGCGCCAGCCCGCGATACCGCTGCCCGGAGTGGCCGGAACGGCCCAGCGACGGCGGGCATATGACGCGCCATCCGCTGCCACGCGGGGATAAGGGTCGTACGCCGTTTCCGAATGAACGCCGCCCCCCCCGCCCCCTCGGCCCTGGCCGTTGCCATGGCGATCACCGCCCCCACCTACTGCTGCACCGGGGGGTGCCGCGTAGGTGGGAACTACGGCGTGTTGTTGAGTGTAGGAGGAGTACGACGCACGTGCGCGGGATTCTATATGGCCTGCGGTTGGCAGAACCCGTCCGGTGAAAGACGTCCTCAACACCGACCTTGGCTCGGCGGGGGTGTCGGGGGTGGGCCGCTTGGTGCCAGAGTACAGCGGCACCGGAGGAGGATCGGTGTACGGGTGATTGATTCGATCGAACACCCTGGTAAAAAAGAGGATTGGCATAGGTGTTTCCACCGACGAGCATGGGAGACAGGCAAAGCGTACACCGGTCAAAGTCGCGGGAACCTTCGGGCATCCTTTCGGAAGCAAACACCTATTGGTAAGCCCTGGCCAGGCTAGCACATGGACACAGGGTGAGATTCCCGAATCGCAATGACAGCCTCAACGTCCAACAGCAGCAACCTCAAGGTGAAACAAACATTAGGTTCGGCAACTCGGATTGAGCTTGTGGGTGAACACCCGAAGAACGCTTACTTGACGAAGGCCATGAAGATCTCCGGCTGTTCTTGGAGGCAGCTTTCGGCCCTCTCCAGTAGCTGTTGGTCGCAACGAAGCCGAAGCATGCGGAGAGCAAAGCAGCGGGAGGAGTCATAGGTGTGTCCTTAGGGCCAACGCAAGTCCCAAACAAGCGAGGACGGACACTGCACGTCAAACCACACCGGTTCAACCGGGGTGTCAGGAGCGCTGGTCGATTCTGCGGGTGTTCTGACCCTCGACAAAACTCCGTCTGATCGCTGCCCAACGCATGAAAAACAGCAGCGCTCACCTGGTCACGAGTCATTGGCTTGTGAATGTTTGTGATGAGGAGGCCTCTCATGTACACAAGTTGGTCCTGAACGGCAAAGAACAGCGGGAGACGAAAAGCTTTGGTGTGCTGTTGTTGTCTCAAAACCCTCTTCACCGGGAGACAGTTGTATGAAAGGCTAAGGTCACCGCGGCATGACTACTAGCGCAGCTGCAAGTCCCACCTGATCCATGTAAGCGTTTGCTCTTTCCAGCAGACTCCAACAAGGATACATGTAGCCGAACTCGCCGTCTTCGTTCACGGCCGCCTCCTTCGGCTTTCGGTAAAGAGGGTAGCCGCCGCTGCCGCTGCTGCTACTACCGCCGTTACTGGCAATGTGACCCCTACCGCTACCACCTGCGCACTCGCGCATGACCTTTGCGTCAACGTGAACAGCAACGTGAGAATGTGGCAAACGCTCCCCTTGTCGTGCCACGGCCATCACGTTGCGGTAGCCGTATGGCGCCGAACCTGCTCGCGAACACGAGCGACAGACATGTTCAGGGTAGATTAGGTGGCGGTGGGAAATTCGTCCATCGACAGAGGAAAGGCTGGAAAGTGTTGGGAGGCGACAAAATCAGGGACGCCGGAGGTTCGCATTGTGATAAGCGAACCACGACGTGCGTAGCCGCGGGCCACAGCAGGCCCTGTGTTGACGGGACGCCCTCAGAGGAGTATATTGTGCATGCCGACCCAGGACTGTTGAAACACATTTCAAATCAACTATTTTTAGGCATCTGGTTGAAAACTTGTCAGGCAGCCTCAAGCGTTACGGTGGCCACCTGCCTCGGCAGATGGGGAATGACAATGCCGGTGCGGCTGTGTGCGCTGTTGCTACCAGAACACCTGTCCTTGAGAGGGTCGATAGGGTCGTCCTCAATCAAATGTGTTATACCATATCTTCTTGACCCCGACACAGAGTGAACGCACCAGTGCAGGCGGGAGTGATGTGACAGCTTGCAACGTATTGATGCGGTTGTATTGATTCGCGCCACGATCGACGTACCGTCTAGCCTACAAGGTAAAATGGCAACTATTCTCGTTGCTGCATATGGATATATTTCACGAACGACAGCAATCGATAATTTTGCGTTGTGCCTTGGACGTGACGGCAGAAAGGAACCAATTTCACAAATCAGCAAGCCAGTGGTTGCAATGAGGGCGAGTGCTTAGAATGACTAGGCATTCATTTGGAGTACCACGCGCGCGTTGGTGCACACGTATGGATGACCCCAAAAGGGCGTTGTCCATTCCTTTGCCCTGCAAGCAAGCAAATATTGCACCTTTGGAGTGAGCAGGTACGGTTATCTATGCTGACGTTGGACGTCTGCTCACCTGTCGTTCCAACGGATGTCAATGCTCTACTCTGGCGAGATTGTGCCTTGGTGCCGACTTGTCTTTCACGTCCTGCTTCTAAGCCAGAAACAGAAGTATACTGTGACCCCGGAGTGAGGCAAACCCCACGTGCCGTGTTGTGAGGAATTTTCACCTGTTGCAGCGATAAACACGGCATGTTCAGGCACGGAGTGAAACAGCAAGGCAAAAATCAGCAACGGCGTTCATCATGCGAACCGAAGGTACAACACTTGCGCGTACGACCTTGGGCTCTTTCGAAACGTCAAATCAAATGAGCACTTGACAGGGTCACACCGCCGGCGGCCACGCTCCCCGGAGCAGAAGCACTTCCTGAACGCTGGCAGGAGCAACTTCATGGTGCCTTGTTGGCGATATCATGGCACGAACAGTCTTTACCTCGAGCACCTCGACGTCGGCAGAACTGTTCCCGGATGCAGTCCCGGAGTCCCTGCGTGCGGCCTGGCGCTGGTATTCACGGCTAACATGGCCATTAGCAGGCGCGTAGTGGGGAGCAGAATCAAACATACGGACACCAAGACCAGCAGTGGCGACCGTCGCAAGAGGTCGTTTGTGGTCATCTGGCATCACGCCTCTGTTCTCTGCGGTGATTCTCTCGGTCGTCGATAAAGGTGGCCCAGGAGCTGCCTGTATAATGAGCTTGGGCTTGCGTCGAGTGTCTTGGGTCGCGATGCTTCTTTGGTGCATGGCAGGGCCGTTTGTGGGCGGGTCGGCTGTCGTGTGACAGGTGGCCGGCTGAAGTTGGGCGGTGCTTGCTTCTTTCGGGGATTTGGTGGCGCCAGGGGGAAGGATGGCTTCGAGCTTCCGTGCCTCCGCCGCCTGTCCACGGAAAGCAAATGGGTTGGTCGGTGCGGCGACTACGATGAATAGACGCTAGGCCTAGGCTTGCCGAGGCGCGCCTACGAGACGGGTGCATCGGCGGTGGAAGCAGGAAGCCCAAGTTTTCGTGCAGGCTAAGGAGGCACTAGAATATGACATACTCACCTCTTTGCCGTAAACGACGTCCGTCAGGGGTTTCGCGTGAGCAAGATACCGGTAGTAGAACGACAGAACCTGAGCAGGCAGGGCCGTGAGCATGGAAACATGTAAAAATACAGAACGGCGAGAAAATACCCAACGACATCAAGAGCCAGCGATGAACAGAGAGCTGGCTCCAAGGGTTCGATAGTACTGGTATAGTGGTACGTTCAATGGTGTCCAGGTTGAAAGGCTTGATCAATCAATATATCGCACCTGGGCAGGGGTCTTCCCGCGGACCTGCTTGCAAACGTTGGCGAGGTCAATGAAGTCCTCTTGTTCAAGGTCCATCCCTTCTCGTGCCCAGCCGTGCAACCGCCTGTCCCATTTGAACTCCTTCTCCAGAACCTGCTCCAGAGTTCTCACCTAATTACGCAAACACAAAGCACGGAAAGATCAACGTATTGCAGCATAATAAGGTTTCATTCCGATGAAAGAGAACCGACGAATGATTGCGCACATGTTGGTCATTTCGACGGGCCTTCTCAACGTGTCGGAAAAATTGGGCGAAGTCACCCTTCGACGGCCCCCTGTTCTGCAGGCTCATGCAAGCAGTGGGGGAAATCGTACGGATGAAAAATGCTGAAGCGCACGCGTACCTGTGAGAGCGCCCACGGAGCTACGCTATCCAGGGATGCCTGGTCGAGAACCTTTAGGGCGGGCCTAAAGTCGTCCAGGGTGCATCTCGCTTTGACCAAGGCAGCCAGAGCTTCTTCTTCGCTCTGTGGACACAGGGCACGAAATAGAGAGCACCTTTCAAAACAATCACTGCTATTGAGTTCACAAGTGTATTTTACGCACGACAAACAACGATTCGGGAACTCTGGTCCGTGACCACCAGGCCATCAGAAACATGAAGCGTCTACTGCAGGATTATGCCTGGGCTTCAGGCCAGCTACGTAGCGACAATATTGCCGCCAACCTGATCCATGTTGATGCTTACACGAATCCCCACGAGATACGGGTCAACGCGACTTCACATCCATTCGACCAGGCGAAGCAACAGGTACCCACAATGACCGGCAGCGGCCGGCTCCACGTCACCGTACCTGAACCCGCTGGACGGCAGATATCGGGACGGTTGTCTGAGCCATTTCCGAGCACGCGACGCGAACCGCTCCGGCAGAGTGTCGACCAGCCATTATTGCCCACACGGCGTAGCTGTTGGCTACACTGGTGGTTACTCCCTTGTCTCCCTTTGCTGCACTGCCGCGGTCTCCAAGGCGGACGTGCACAGCCACGCCGGGGAAGCCTTGCTTCTTCTGCAAGACATCCGTCGCGGCGTGGAGATACGTCGACAACATCTGACGAGATTGCGGATCCCAGTTGCGGATACTCCGCCACACCTTCCCCATGATTAACAACAGCGAAAGGAAGAGTGACGAAAGCCGTTTGGAGAAATCGCCCCAGGAGGTCGCGGAAGAATGAGTTGAGTGTGGTGGACGTACCTTGATATTGTGTGCCCGATGTTGTAAATTGCATATGGACTTCACAAATAATACATGGATTAAATCCGGCTCTGTGTGTAGGTTCCCGGTTTCACAACTAAAAGGCTTTGGAGGTTTCTGTACTTGCCGTGATTTGGCGTGTTATCGCACCCCCGTGTTAGCTGTTTCCTATAGCGCATTTCTCAACAACCAGGGAGGTATCAGCTCCGACAAGGGTGGTTTCGGAAACATCGCGTCGACGGCTTTCTGAGAGGTATCACTTGGTGTTCGTACCCTCCCTAGTTGTGGAGACATACGCTACAGAAAACGCTAACACGGGGGGGGGTGTACTCATTGTTGTGCATGCCGTAGTCGTTAGACCATTGACCTCGCATCCCGACAAAGCCGGGACGGAGCACGCCGGGTTCTCACTGGACCAGGCTCTCACATCACCAAGCGCGAAGCGCCGTGAGATATTCGGCGAGTCGCATGAAGGGTGCGCTGCATCCTGCTAACGGCGTTCGGCATCTTGTGCTTACTTCCTTACGTACGGATGACAGCTGCGTATGACTTAATTTACTTTCTGGTGCTTTCACCTCCAGAGGCAGTTATAAGCACTGTGTAACTGCCTCGAGGGTGCTTGACCAATTGAACACAAGGTGGCGCGATCATCCCCCTTGCGCGGAGTGAGGGTTCTCCACCCCGCACAACATGATCTACTCGACCACCATCATGTTTACCGCCAAAAAAAAGCAGGGGGAAAAAAAGAAACGGTTACCCGGTTGCCGAGCTCACGAAGTGAGTTGGCTTGTTCTACAACGTCATTGCCAAGCGACGAAAACTCAATGCCGATGGCAAACACCGGGGGGTTGTAAATATAGTCGTGCATGCCGTAGTCGTTAGACCATTGACCTCGCATCCCTACAAAGCCGGGACGGAGCACGCCGGGTTCTCACCGGACCAGGCTCTCACATCACCAAGCGCGAAGCGCCGTGAGATATTCGGCGAGTCGCATGAAGGGTGCGCTGCATCCTGCTAAGGGTGTTCGGCATCTTGTGCTTACTTCCTTGCGTACGGATGACAGCTGCGTATGAATTAATTTATTTTCTGGTGCTTTCACTTCCAGAGACAGTTGTAAGCACTGTGTAACTGCCTCGAGAGTGCTTGACCATTTTAACACAACGTGGTGCGATCATCCCCCTTGCGCGGAGTGAGGGTTCTCCACCCCGCACAACATGATCTACTCGACCACCATTATGGTTACCGCCAAAAAAAAAACGGAGGTAAAAAAAGACGAGGGGAACCTGGTTGCCGAATTCACGAAATGAATTGGCTTGTTTTACACTTTCCTTACTGATTCCATATATTTTCTTCTCTTTTCCTCTTGTTCTCTTTTCCTCTCTTTTTCTGTGCCAGGTGGCCTTGTTTCTGCTTGCGTTGTGAAGTACCAAAACTGAACCAAGGGGCTGTACCTCATTATCTCCGGCCCGTGATGGTGACCCCTAGTCTCAGTTGTTACCTCGCATAGCGCGCAGAGGGAGTGGAGGACTCCAGAATATCTGTCGTTGATTTCTATTGACTTGCGGACCCCTC